AAAAAAAAAAAAATCTGACAAGTTTAATGGTCTAAAAAAATCTCAAAAACTTTGCAATTTAAAATTTCGTTCCAAAATTTCTTAAAATCTTGCGAGTAAAGCTCTAGTGTCAATTTTCAATTTTGAATCGATTGCTTTCAACTAGTCATCAAATTTAAGCTCATTAAATTTCACTTATTATCGAAAAAAGATCAAATTTTGACATAATGATTAACAACAAATATAATCCTAAAAATTACCAAAAAGGGAAACCCAATTCTCTTATACATTTACTTATCTCACACCTAAATTTTAATTTTTAAGTCTAAGACATCTTTTCCTATATATGAAAAAATGAAAATAATGTAATAACTTTTTATACATCAATTAGAGTGTTTGTAAAAATCAAAATTTAGGTGTGAGATATATAAATGCTGAAGAAATGGGTGCTAAATGTATGCAAATTTATTAAAAAAAACTTAAATATAACATTGTAATCATAAAAATATAAAAATTTACATTTCAACGACCCAAAATCTCTAATGAGCTGGTAATGGATGATAAGATGTTAAAATGGTTGATATCTAAAGACCATAATATAAAAATTAGTGGCAACCAGTACAATTTATGCCGAGAGAAATACCAATAGAAAACAAATAGAACTTTACATATGATTTTAAATTAAACCGAACCAAATAGCCAATCAAGTTCTACACATTCACCTTTAATACGATTTCACAGATCATGGAGAGAATATGGCGCACCGCTTCGGGGAGATTCAACATGTGCCCTTTTCCGTCCATCAGACGGCCCTCGTCCCATCTCCATCCCGTTGACCATCTCCATAAAAATCTTCTGAAGGTCTTCCAGCGTGTCCGGCTTCTCGGGCTTCCGAGAGTCCATCATCGAGAGCATCTCCTCCATGAAATCGGTGAAATCCTGTTCGCAGAACATATAAATTAATAATATTTTATTCCCCAATTAAAGCGCTCAATAAATGAGTTCACAAAAAAGAATCCACGAGCCTGATCGTCATCATCAAAGGGATCAAAGAGCCCAGCGTCATACATCGCACGCTTACCGCTATCCGCTAGAACTGCAGGAACACCAGAACACGTCAAACATATCAGAACAAACGGAATTTGAACTCTTAACGGCGGCTACCGGCGAACAATACTTAACCGGAATAAGCTTCTTGGATCCCCTGGAACCTGCACTTAGCCTCCCCCGCCGCTGACTCTGACTCCTTACCCCATCGATCAGGATGCCATTTCTGCAAACACCCTTAACATCACGCATTTCGCAAAACAAACCGTCATAAGTTGCGAAACGGATGGGATCCGAGAAGGAGAAATGATTACCAGGGCGAGTTTTTTGTAAGCGCCACGGATCTCGGCGAGTGAAGCGCTACGGCGGATGCCGAGGAGAGAGTAGTAGCATTGATGGGTGGCAGATCCATCCGCCGATTTTGCTTCCATCGCCGTATGAAAGGAGATCGATCTCAATTAAAAAAGAGGAGGAATGAATGAATCTGCATCGAAAACGTTTGATTGAAGAAAAAAAAGGGAGGGGAAATATATGGATGTAAGGGGAAAGAGGGAGCGTTTTGAGAAAGAAATTGATTTTCCGGGAATGGTTTCGCTTTTTTGACGGGGATGCCGAAAATATCTTCTTAACTCGTGGTTTAAACGCCCATGTAACGATTTGAGGACCCAGGGAAGGTTCTCGATCTTCTTTTGGAGATATTTTGGAGCACGGCAGTTAAATGACAAAGATTAAGATATTATTTACGAAAATGCCATTCTATGGGAATAATGCATAAAAAATAGAAGATAAACTTCCATCTTTACCCACATCATGAACATACAAAAATAATATTATTAACAATTTTTTAAGATCAAATAAATATTTTTTTTCTGAGATTTAAAACATCAAAATCTTATGAATACAAATGCAAAAATTTAAATGTTAGATGTAAATAAAAAAATGGAGCGTCCCTCTACCTAT